AATCTATGTAAGCCACGCAATAAACCATTTTTGAGCATGTTTTAAAATTCCAAGGGAAAGGCTGAGACATGTTTTAGTTAGTGTCAATATTTTTATCACAAAGAAAGTAACAATAGAGTCAGAGAAGTAGGGTATGTGTCAGCATGTCAGAACTGAACTACATATGACTGTGGCTGTCGGGCAGAGAATGAGAAATAAGAATAAACTGAAGATCACGGTTTCCATTTTGGAAGAATGAACGGCCGCTCCCAAAGGGCAGTCACTATTTAGCCAGATACCTCAAGTTTTGGTCTTAGGGATACACTGCACAGGGAGGTTGTTGGTTCCTGGTATAAGTCTTGATAATGTATATTCTAAGATTTAATGTCAGCCACATGTTGCCCCTTGTCATACTTTCTCTCTCTCTTGGTGATATTTCTAAACTATTGGATTGGATAATCAAGGGACAAAATAGAAATAATAGTAATATATAATAACAATAATAATATATCAGCAATATAGGTGATAGTTTGAATATATGAAAACGTTTATAGGTTTTGAAATATTCCGTAATATCTCTTCTTGTTACAAGAACAAGAAGACAAATGGAAACGTATGTCCATTGGCCAGCAAATATTTTTGTTTTTTGATTTTTAACTACAATATAGATTTGGAAGGGACCTTGGAGGTCTTCTAGTCCATCCCCCTGCTCAAGCAGGAGATCCTATAGCATTTCAGACAAGTGACTGTCCAGTCTCTTCTTAAAAACCTCCAGTGATGGAGTGCCCATGATTTCTGAAGGCAAGCTGTTCCACTGGTTAATTGTCCTCGTTGTTAGGAAGTTTTCTTCTTAATTCCAGGTTGCTTCTCTCTTTGGTCAGTTTCCAACTATTGTTTCTTGTCCTGCCCTCTGGTGCTTTGGGGAATATTTTGACCCCCTCTTCTTTGTGGTAGCCCCTCAAATACTGGAATACTGCTATCGTGTCACCACTGTTTTGTCTTTTCTTTAAACTAGCCAAACCCAAGTCCTGAAATTGTTCTTCATATGTTTTAGTCTCCAGGCCTTTGATCATTTTAGTTGCTCTTCTCTGAACATTTTCCAAAGTCTCAACATCTTTTTTGTAGTACGGTGACCAAAATTGGTTGCAGTATTCCAGTTGTCGTCTTACTAGGGTTTTATAAAGCGGTACTAATACTTCACATGATCTTGATTCTATGCCTCTGTTTATAGAACCCAGGCTTGTATTAGCTTTGGCTGCTGCTGCACACTGCTGGCTCATAGTCAAGTGATCATCCACTAGGACTCCAAGATCCGTCTCACAGTTGCTGTTTTTGAGCCAGGTCTCGCCTAAATCTGTACTTATACCTTTGATTTTTCCTGCCTAAATGTAAAACTTTGCTTTTCTCCACATTAAAATTCATTTTGTTGAATAGGGTCCATTGTTCAAGTTTGTCAAGATCTTTTTGGATCCTGAGCTTGTCTTCTGGGGTGTTGGCTATCCTGCCAGTTTAGTGTCATCTGTAAATTTGATGAGTTCCCCTTCTATTCCCTCATCTAAGTCATTTATGAAGATATTAAAGAGTACTGGGCCTAAGATGGAGCCTTGTGGTACCCCACTACTTACTTCTCTCCATGTGGATGTAGTGCCATTGAGGACTACTTGCTGAGTACGGTTTGTCAGCCAGCTACAGATTCATCTGGTGGGGATGTTGTCTATCCCACCTTTTTCTAGCTTACTAAGCAGCAGGTTGTGGTCTACATTGTCAAATACCTTACTGAAATCTAAGTATATGTCCAAAGCGTTTTGCTGGTCTACTAATTCAGTCACTTTATCAAAAAATGAAATAAGATTGGTTTGGCATAATCTGTTTTTAACAAACCCGACTTGGCTACTAGTTACAACTTTGTTTGCTTCTAGTTGTTCACAGATCTGTTTTTTGATTATCTTTTCCAGGATCTTCCCAGGTATTGATGTTAAACTAATTGGTCTGTAGTTTCCTGGCTCTGGTTTGTTTTTTGTTTTTTTCTTGAAGATGGGAACCACATCAGCCTTTTTCCAATCCTCAGGTACTTCCCCGGTACTCCAGAATTTTTGAAAGATATATGAACACGTGAATTCAGATCTGTGAAAAATGTTCTAATTCTCACTCTTGATGTCTGCTAGATATTTCTTAAAAAGTAATTTATATGATCAACAGTCTCATTTTGGTTGCATCTATTATTCAGAAAACACTATACAAATCAGTGTCATATTTCTTTCCTATTTACCCAATACAGAGAACATGATCTTCTTTGATGAAAAACCCAGTTATTTCATTTGTAATCAGACCTTTAATATTTCTGCTGAGTCTAGTAATCCAAGATGTAAGGAAAAGAGAGGCATGATGTGTGTGTGTGTGTAGCAAATTAGATTTGATCTATGGGAGGAGTAGGAACTATTTTTTTCAGAAAGCTGTTCAAGAGGTTCTAGTTGAATAAAGGTAAAAGTTTCCCCTGTCCAATTGTGTCTGACATTAGGGGGCAGTGCTCATCTCTGTTTCCTAGCCAAGCCAGTGTTGTGCGAAGACATTTGTGTGACCATGTGGTTAGCCAAAGCGCACAGAGTGCTGTTACCTTCCCACTGAAGTGGTACCTATTTATCTACCTGCATTTGCATGCTTTAGAACTGTTAGGTGAGCAAGAGCTGGAGAAAGTAACAGGAGCTCACCCTGCAGTGCAGCACTTGGGTCTTGAACACAGACTGTCAGTTTTCCAGCTGATAAGCTCAGTGTCTTTAACCACTGAACCATCATGCTCCCTTCTACTTGAATACATTTACTCAAAACTTCAATATAGTGAATGACCATTAAATATGAAACAAAATTAAAACAAAAACATCAAAGAAATCTGCTTTTGGCTTGGTGAAATCTTGTTTTTATCCATTAAGAAAAGCAGGTATTTCCCCATCAGATATATTGGTTACATTGTTTTGCTTCAACAATACATGTAGACGGGACGAAGATGCCCACTTTACCTGACCATAAATACAATTATGTGGGATCCAGATGCCTTCTTTAAGGAAACATTTCTCTTTCAGCAATATCACTTACTTTTCCAGTAACAAAATCTGTGTATTGTTATGGAGATATATGTGCCCAGATATTTTATGGGGAGACAGAAGAAAATGTGTTTTTTAATATGTCTGTTAAAAATTGCAGCAGCCTAACGTCGCTGCATATAGATGTCACAAACATAAAAGTCCCATTCAAACCTTCTTCCAATTTTCCATTTGGTATATATATGTGCCTGCAATGGACATCCTCAGGTTCTCCTGAACACAGAGAGAAGCCTCCATACAGCAGCAAACTTGCATTAGGAACTCCAACTGTGCAAAGGGGTGTAGTCTTATACAAGGAAATAAATAAATAAATAAATAAATAAATAAATAAATAAATAAATAATTTAGACCAGCCCAGTCATTAACTCTGGGTGGTTCAACTCACCCTGTAAACTTTCATTCAGAAAGGTCAGGGATTTGCATCTGAGGATCTTCATATTTATGTGCAGATATAGGTATGCATATATGTATGTATTTCCCGCCTTTATTATTTTTACAAATAATTCAAGGCAGTGAACACACACACCTTGTGAGGTGGATTGGGCTGAAAGAGAGTGACTGGCCCAAGGCCACTCAGCTGGCTTTCACGGCTAAAGTGGGACTTGAACCCATGGTCACGTGCTTTCTAGCCTGATGCCTTAATCATTAGACCAAACAGTGTAAGTTTTGACTCTGTTCAAGAAGAAAGAATGAAAGGTTCTGAGTTATTTCTGCATGATTGACTCGGCTTTCCCATTCTGGGAATTTGAGCTATATGAGTAGGGAAATCTACCCAAACCTGTGTTGATGTTGATAGGAGGCAAAAGTCTAAGAAGCCAATGGGATGACTTCCTGTATTTCTGTAGTCCAATGAAAATCAATTTTTGTTTTAGATGCCAGAGAAATTGTCCAAATAAATGCTTACCAAGGTATTTTAAAATGATGTGTGTGTGCTTCTGGTATTTAAATCTTAATTTGGGATTATTCCTATAGTAACTTTTAACTACATATTGACATACAAATAATAAACATTAAAAAATACAATTCTGATTATTAGTGCCGGCAGAATTCAAGGTCCTTTTCATTTTTTTTTGAAAGAGAAGAAATAAAATAAACTGAAGTGAGTGTAGCAAATTAATTTGTTAAACACATTTATTGAATTGTTAACAATAACCAAACACAGTGTATGACCTTTGTAAAACAAGAAACAGAAAAATGGATTAATTCCAGTCTTGGCAGTTCCTACTACAGGTATGTGATGAGGGGGAAAATATTTCAATTTCCTTTATATTCTTCAGTGATCTATTTACAATACTTATCTTGGCATCTGTCCATTATTAAGCAAATGGAAAGATTATGATCCAGAAACAAATCTCCCTTACTATCTCCCTAGTTCTGCTTTGCCAGTAACCAATAATGAGGGGGATATGACAGCTTTCCAAGGATTACTTGGCACACAGAACACAAATCCACTTGGATGGCAGCAGCAAACCACCTTTTTAATGGAGTTATGATGGGAAAGCGAAGAAGGGAGAAGGGGAACAGAGGAAGAATTCATATATACAAAGTCTGAACAGTCTTTTTCATTGTGGGCGATAGTAGTTTCAGGAAAACAGTATCAAAATTGTAATCATGGTAATGGCAGATATTGTCTTTTTTTTTCTTATGACTGATCCATATGAATACATTTCATTGAGCTGAATTTCCAACTTGGCATCCTTTTCTTTTGAGTGTGGCTCCATGAAGTACAAAGACCGAGGACTGAATGGGGTTGGGGCATTCTGTAGTATATCAATTCACAGTAGTAGCATTCCATTGAGGTGAAAACTTCTTCCCATTTGTGTCTTAATTACTTCAGGAGCCATTCATTTACTGAAAGGGGAAAAAAAAAAACACCAATAACCATGGAAAAATTTCCACAATGACACCCTCCCTCCTTTATTTTTTTCTTTCTACAACCACAAATTTAAAGATCAGTCAAATATCTGAAAGATAGATTGTGGGATCAGTTACTTAGGATAAACCAAATAAATAATGTGTAAATAAATAAATAAATCTTAAATGGAAAATATTATACAATTTCTAGTGCTTTTTCCAGCATTTGAAATGCTGGTATGTCTCTCTGTGGATGGGAGAGTGGGGACAATGAGATATTGAGGTTATTATAGATTCTGATGTCCTGCTGGTAGGAGAAATCAAGCCTTGCCTTGAAATCAAGGTTTGGAGCCAGAACTTGCCAGAAGTGGATATATTTCAAAAAAGAAGTTAAACATGGGTTCTTGCAGAGGGAAGAAAGTTTTCAGGTTTAGTGAACGAGAATGAATATTTCGTAATTGTTCACAATATCTCAAAATGTGTCACTTGCTTTACATTCAATCAGATTATTAATCCATCTAACTCAAGTGATGATGAATCTGTGATACATGTGTCAAAGGTGACATGATACTACATTTTGGGTGACACGTCAGTATTTACATGCAAGCAGAGTCGAATTAGGTATTTTTTGAATTTTGGACATGCCAAGCCCAAAAGATTCGCCATCATTGATCTAACTTGATATTAGTTATACTAGTGTCTGGGCAGTGGCTAAATCTGGGATTTTCTACATAAAAAGCATGGCCTCTTCTACTGAGCTGTAGCCCCTTGCAAGCACTTCTTGTTAGGAAAGTGGCTTCCATGAAAACAGATGTATTCAAGTTTGTCTTCCCATACACCACCCTGTTGTGTATACCTTTGCAAGATATAATCATTATTATTTTGTCCTAACAAGCATTTCTTGATGCATGTCAGACATCATGGACTTAGCTCCTGCTAGTTATGGGAGTTCAGGTCTAACATCCCTGGAAGATACTGTACAGGGAAGACTGGTTTAATTTAGAACAGTGTTTTTAAAACTTGGCAACTTGAAGAAGTGTGGACTTCAACTCCCAGAATTCCCCAGTCAGCATGGAGAATTCTGGGATCTGAAGTCCTACACATCTTAAAGAAACCAGATTTGAAAAACACTGTATTAGAAAATTCATCAGGGAAGGGAATGTTACTGGCATTCTAAAATAAAACAGAAACAGTTGTTCTAGAATGAATTGTGCTTCTAATTTCCTGGCTTCCAGTATTTTTCTTTTAAACAGAAATCTCTTACTAAAAAAGCAAAATCAAACAAAACTACATCTTCTTTCTCCTCCTTGATCACCAAATCAGTTATGCAAATCTGGGAAAGGTAACAATTAAAGCTGTGAACTCTTGCTTGCATTTGTTCTTCAACCTTAAAACCAGCCACTCTGGGTTTTGTTGCATATAAATGATTCCACTGTTTTGAAACAGAATCAATCGGGTTATCCCGGTGCATGTTATGCAGTATCCTTCAGCAGTGTAATTGTCTCTATGGTGTCTTTAGATTTTTCATGCATATTTATTTTCAGCTCCAACCTCTGGTCCAGCTCCTTTCATTCATACTCAGTAGCTAGAACTCCAGCTATCACTATGCCAGACATGTATTTTGCCCCTTCAGTAAGCCTTATTTTTCTGAAGGTTTACAGAACCCTCTTTAGAAGATTGAAAGAGCTGTCTTTTGTAATGGCAAAACATATATTTTGTACATCAAAAAAAATCCAAATTTTAATCCTAGCATTTCCACTTACTCACCAGGAAGCAGATGACTGAAAGATGCTTCTCTGAGTCTCTGAAGAGAGGTTATCAAAGTAGAAAATATTGGGCCTGACAAAGAAACAATTTAACCTGGAATACGGTAAATCAAACCTTCCTAATCTGACACTGTAAGACAAAGGGGATTCCAAAACAGAAAACACTACTTTGAAATGAATATAATGTTTGGAGCATTACCTCTATACTGTAGTTTCTGTGCTCTATTGTTCGGGCAATCTTTCCCTTGTAAACTAAAGTTGATGTTTGTTCGGATACATCGATTGTTGAGAGGCTGGACTGGTCTGAAGTTATCACTCATACTCAGAAAAATCTGTGAAGGCTGATTCTGGCTTAGTAACCGTAATGAATGCATCTGCATAAATATAAAAAGTGAAGACAGATATTAATCTTATTATCTGAGAGGAAAACATGGGTTGCTAATTTGGGTAATGTTTAATAGCTTTTTGTTGACTAGGACTGGATGATGATGTTATAAAGGTTTTGGATTATTTGACGAGAGACGATAGGGATATTTGTTTAAATAGAAAAGATAAGAGGGAGGGTTCAAACTGGGTTTATTAGATATTTACAATACAGGTAGTCCTTGACTTACAACAGTTTATTTAGTGACTGTTCAAAATTACAACAGCACTGAAAAAGTGACTTATGACCATTTTTCACACTTATGACAGTTGCAGCATCCCCATGATCACGTGATCAAAAGTCAGATGCTTGGCAACCGACTCATGTTTATGAGAGTGGCACATGTCCCTGGGTCATGTAATCCCCTTTTGTGACCTTC